ACATACACAATTTTGACAATTTATTCACTTCTTAGGGTAATCTTTACAGTATCTGTTTAAATACTTATAAGACGATACATTAGCAACCGGATCAACGGGCAATATGACTAGACGACCGATTGAATTTCAAACAAAATATGTTCGCATACAAGAGATGGCGTTCAAAAGACATGGCTCGCAAAAAAGGACAACACCTTTATAAAAACTCAAACCATATCTTAAAGCAACAGTCCCAGCAGGGTGGGCGTGGTCGGAAACGACTGCAATCCCCTCGGCCGATTCCGACCACGCCCACTTCAGCTCCCTCCCTAGCGGCTTTCCAAGGTGAGTTTTTGTTCAGTCACACTTCTTAGACTAGGGGCTGAACAGCTCCGAAGTGGGAATCGGCCGAGGGGATTGCAGCCGTTTCCGACCACGCCCACCCTGCTGGGACTGTTGCTTCAAACGTTATTAAAGTAACCAACAAATTTTACATGCTGTCAATATTTTATCAAATTCAAAGATGATTTGGATCGAGTAGATCATTAAAGAACTCCCATGGAACATTGACGACGGTCCTGTTCACCCTTTCGGCCCCATTGACGAGGTGGGCGTGCCCAAGCGCCTTTCAAAGCGTGACATCACTCTCAAATGGGGTGGCGCGGCCCGTCGCATGTCACAATCGCATTAAATCTGATAGCATTTCAGAAAAATTACATGAAAAATTCCAAGCTGTAGGGTTCGCTATCCATCCCACGGAATCCAGAATGATATTGATCGGTCGTTTTCAAAGGACATTCTTCTATGAGCACAAAGTTATATACAGTAAAACCATAAGTGATCCTGAGTTTGACGCAGTAAAAGAACTGAAAACGTTCTTGGAACGAATTCACAAAAGGAATTCTTGCCACATTCCAGAAGTTCAAGCCGGCTAGGCAGCAGACATCGTATGGCAGATGAGGTCGATATCGTTGCCGTTTTTCTTGAACACCGCTTGTTGAGTGGGATCGGCTGGGAATATTCGAACCACACGTGTTTTGCCACCAAGACAAACGCTCAGCGTTGGCGATACGATCACCATTGGAGGTCGCATTTTCATCCTGAATTTGTGTAAAATTAAAAATGACTGCTGGAAAGATGTGGAGTCTTACTTAATAAGTTACGTGACTACATGTACTTTCTCTATGTTTTCTGTTAAAAAGGCTAGAGCGAGGCGCTGTGAACGCCACCAACTGCAACTTCTAACGCTGGAAATGGGAGATAGGGGAGGGGCAGGGTCAACTGTCCGTTGGACAAAGTCCAACGAGGGGGTGGGGGGTCGTATTTGGGGGTGGAAAAGAGGGGGGTCGTATTTCGTGAGGTAGCGTCAATGTTACAGTAAGGGAAGGGATGATTTTTCATGGAACGGAGAGTGGAGTAGGACCCCCCGCCGCTCGACGGCAATTTTGGAGGGAAAAAGTGGGCGGAGTTGGGCTGTGCCGACTGGTCTCAGAATGAAATACTATAGAATCGCCCCCATGATGGCGATGGATGGGGGAGGGGCTCGTATATCCTCTAAATTGGTCCAACATGGACGTGTTTTGGACCCTGGATAGATGGCCCAGGAGGATAAGTTCAATTCAGGGAGGATAGAAGGGGGTGTGGGGTGTGAGCTACCTTTCATGCGGCTCAAGTTTCAACGTACGAGGTCATTACAGTCACGAACCACTATTTAGCGGAGAAAGCACGGAAGAGGCCAGCACACTGACTTTTTGCAAAGAACCGAGTTCAAGCAGCCCAGCAGACCATCCCACTACCATATCTCACTCGCAAGCAAAGCGGCGAATCATGCGGCAAGACCTGTGCCGCATTTTCTCATTGGAAGGCTCAACTCAGAGTTGTCGGCCAGAGGTTTGACTGCACTATGCTTCAGCTCGGCCCTCAAAGACCCCGACTCAAAGGAGTGGGTGGATTTTTGGTGTAACTAGGGGAGCTACCATACCTTAGACAAAGCGCGCGCATTGTGATGTAGCAAGAAGTATGAGCAGTTCCACTAGGAAGGGTTAGTCCTTTATAACTGGTCTGGGCGTCGGTAAAACCCTGCGAGAATGCTAGTACGCATACGGGTGTGTGCGGGAGAGTATATAACCAGAGCTAACCCTACCGATTGAATGTTCTCATTTTTATGACTTCAAAAAAAGAAAAAAATCAATTTGACCACCAACTAGCGATCAGCTTATCCCTTGAGGTTGAAAGTTCACATACCAGTTCATTAAGTTTATGAATGTACCGACTTCAACACTCTCGATCTGTACCTACCAACACTTTCCGCCAGCACTACTATTACAACATTAAAAAGTAAATCTTTTGACACTATCGTGATCGATCCTTCCCGCGAATGCGCACGCACTACACTTCGAATTCGGAATCTTGTGAGCTGCGACGTCAAATTATGCAAACGACTTGTAGGCAGATCAGTCTAGGAAATTCGTGTGATCCCTAGAATGTGATTTATCAGCTAATTTGATTGGCCTATTCTTGGAGGGAAGGAAAGTTCCGGCGTAAAACCGTCTTGTCGAGATTCGATTTTCGGATAAGACACTTATTACGATACTAAAGGTTTTTACTATGCGATAATCCGTATAACGAATGAACCAAAAAACTCAAATAAGTCGTACTTTTCATACTGAGCAAGTAGAGTGCCGACGAGTTCACCAATCCGCTCCTCTTCACGGGCATTCTTGGCGCAACCGACGATGTCATTTTCAGCCACATGAATCACAAACAAGGCCATTCGGTTCTGGACAAATGGAGATTCGTGACACCTTAAATTGAAACAACATTTTTTTTCAAAATTGCGTACACATACGTGATTGGGTACGAAATGAATTCGATCGTTTCGTTATACAAGCTAGATTCAGTCATAATGCGATAGTCAGCTGGCATATATTTTTTGCCGCAATTATTAGTTTTTGCCGAGGTCAGGATGGAGTTTTATGCGCCGGAATCGTGATGATATATATTATATAGACTCTCTCTCAGCTCGACAGTGAGACGTATGCCATCAAATTGGGGTCAAAGACAGAGTTTTAGGGGCTGTAAAGGCAGCCCCTAAAACTGAGGGGGCAGGTGCCTCAAGGAGACTAAAGGCTTGAGAATTCTTTTCAGCTGGAGTCCATCTCCCTCTTTACGATTTGGCTCAAACACCGCCCCCTAAAGCATGTGCTTAAATTAAAGTAGCCATGAGCAGGCTATGAGTGGCGCGGGCGAGAGAGTGAGCGTCTAGAACAGGGGGAGGCGAGCGTGGCGAGTCAGAAGTGCGGCAAGAAAAAAGCCAAGCGCAAGTGAAAGGAAACGGCAAAAAAGAGCAACAAACAGTGCGAGGCATCGGGACAAGATGTTCCTTGCCTACGGCTGGCGGCGAGTGCGCACGGCGGGGCATCGAGCGGCCAGTAGCGGCTCTCCGAGCCACGAGGTGGCGGGTGGACATGTTGAGTGAGTGAATTGGTATAGGAAAGCGCGTGCACTGGTGTCAAGGAAGTGGTTCTGGAGCAGTTTTGAAATTGACAGCTCGAATTAGCGCAATGAATTCAGTGATGACAAGCGCTGTGAGAGGAGATATTGGAGTGCTGAATGTGGCGTGCGGAAGAGAGAGGACGTGAAAAACGAAAGCGAGAAGAAAGTTCAGACAAGAGAAGAACAAACGGCGCGCGCGAGAGAGAGCGAGGAAAACTGGGAGGGATGAGTCGATAATGGCGGTCGGCAAGGCTTCTTAATCGAAGTAAGTAGATGGGTCGGTGATAGTACATATGTCTTTTCCGGCCACCGCTCAGGTATGTATTCTTTGTTAAGCGTTTCTTGAAAGTCGGATCTGGGAAGTGTTGAATGTGGACAGGGGACTGGAGGATTAAATGGTAGGCGCGTGAAGAAGTTAGCGGTAAATAGGCACTTTGTGTCGAGAAGGGAGTTCGTGCGATTGAAGAGCTGCGCGATCGGCGGCGACGGATATTTGAGGATATATGACGTGTTGCTGCAGCGGCGTGAACGACATTTTGTTTCAAAATTACTGTAACTATGTTACTGTAATTAAGGACAGCTCCATCTGATATGAGCGCTATTTAGAGGCAGGATCTTATGAATTTCAGGACATACCTGTGCCAAATAATCGCCTTTCCACGGTCGCGTATATCCCCATCGTTCTCGCTTGCCACTGAGAGCAGCGAATGCGGCAAGCTTTTGCGGTAATGAATCTCTGAAAAAACACAAGCGATCGTTGGCAAGACCCAATTGGCACGGCTACGCCAATAAAAGAACCAAATATGGCCAAAATGGCTGAATTTTGCGTCGTACCTGAGATGTTGTGGCATTGTGGCGAGGATCGCAGCGGCTCGCCAGCGTTGGTGCATTACTTTCAGCTTGCCAACAAACGGCGCCAACACTACCGGTGGAGCAGGCCAACGAATACTTTTGCCCAGATCTGGCATCTTCCGCACACCGCTGAAACAGAAAATTTTTGAGAAATGGTTTGATTTTGACATCTCTCGAAAAAGGCATTTCGCAGGGGGCCAAAACTATGATTAATAGGTGCAAACGAAAACATTCGTCAGCCCTTCATCATACGAAAAAACATCTTATGGGCTAACATTCCATCGATTTGAATACAGTTGACTCATTGTTAAAAGTAATGTTTTTTCTCTTTTGTCGACGAGGTTTTCGCGTGGGCTCGCCATTTCGGAAGACGAGAAGAGCGTCGAGTGCAGACCACACACCACAAGTGACGACGGCCAAGAAGAAACTGGTTGTTTTTTCTTTCGTCACTTGTGGTGTGTGGTCTGCACTCGACGCTCTTCTCGTCTTCCGAAATAGAGGGTAAACCTCCTCAAAAGTCTTTGAAGAACGCCTAACAACAAACAACGATGCCGAAGTTCTATGGAGAGAGAAGTTGGAGAGTACAGTTGATTCGGCTATTTTGTTCACGACGCAAACAACGGGAATAAATCCAACGACAACAGGCCACGCTGCATACAAGGGGGGAGGGAAACGGGCAGAAAGTCATTTTTCCTCTACATTCGGGACGATATTTTGCACTTTGTCAGATTCAAAACATAAGTCTATCAGAGGACTTCGGAATTCCTCCTCACTATAAAATTCAAAATCGCCTCCGTAGCATGAGCACGGGTTATCAACGGTTCTTGACGGATCTGTGACATTAGAAAGTTATCTGAAACTGAGTGGACAGTAACAGAATCACTTCAGTGAGTATCCTCAGTTACTATTCAAGGCTTATGTACGTCACGTTAGAGCTATTCGGTAGGCATCTCAGCTGATTGTGATGCCGATAACATGTTTTTGAAGCCGGGGGAGTGGGGTAAGGAGTGAAGGGAGGGCCTGTACTCTGGGGAAGGGAATTCTGAGATATTTCCGATAAGGTTTCTATACCCTGTGCGACGAAATTTTGCGCGACGGCCATTTGAGACAAAGTGATTTGTCCTTTCCCACTCCTCAGTTAGCGTTGTCTCCATTCTCGTATTAGGCGCATTTTCGATGATTCAATATGTACGTGCGCTAAAACTATATCTGTGAGATAGCGAGAGACGGATGAGGACGAGTGAGAGGATGAAAAAATAAAGGAATAGTAAAATAAAACAGGGTCTTTCTGTCGCACACAGTCTGGTCGACAGGAGGAGGGTGGGTTGACCGGTGGACCAACCTAATATATTGTCTATGCGTCATCCAACGCTGGCTTTCGTAATTACCAGTGACCGAAAGCCAGCGTAACCGGCCGTTCAATTCACAACGAGAGGATCTTTCGCAAAGACATGGAAGATGGTTTGTCATGATTAATACAAGAGATTTTTTCAAGAAGTTGGGATTTTCGAAAAAAGAGTATTTGTACAAAGAAACTTTAGTGCTTGGAAGGTACCGCTAGCATTCCTAACGATCTTATTTTTGGGCTGCCAGGTTTTGGTGCCAGATCCAAATATTGCTCAGCACAGCTGCGACGTTTAAGGTGATTTTGGAAATTACTCCATAACGAGTCCTTCAGATTGGCCATTCAAACATTCAGAGGACTGTCCGACTTCAAAACTCTTCCAAGTGACGACTGGCCCTGCTCAGGGCGCTTTTTCAAACCAATAAGAAAGACAGACGTCAATTTATGCGCCATGTAACCCGAAACAAAATCAAACAGACGTCACATAATTCCAAATGTGCATATATTAACTTCCACCTAGCGGCATGAATGACATGACGTTTTTTTGGGATTGAGAATAATCAAAGAGTCAGCCTTGTCAAAGAGAGCCTTTGATGATCACTGACTTTGATTATGAATAAGGGACTCACCCGAAGTCTACAACTATCTACACGCGGCAAAAATTTGATAAATCATTACTATATTCTACTTAATAAATACTATAATACTACTAAATTAAATTTTCATTAAAATGATATGAACATTAAAGGGACACAAAAGTAGAGGAAGAAAAAAGCAAAGAAACCATCGACAACACTACAATAAAGGTTTCTTTTTTGAATAGGTTGTGCTGTGACGAAGAGACACAGCTCACCGGAGAGATAGCAGACGCGAAAGAAAAACGAACTAGTACGCAGACACTCCGCTTCCGCAAGTGGATGAGAGGGGAGACGACTACCAATGGGGCAGGATCCTAGCGCTTTCTCGTGCAGTTCCGAGCAGCGAGAACGATCCGTGGACAACTCTAACCTACCCTATAAACGAATTGATCCGACAGAACTCATCGACGTGAAGTGTGACCTTAACCTGGTTGGTGATAATAACGTAGGAACCTTCACTTTGGCTAATGCAACCTTTCTAACCGATCATAGTCCCGGGTGGATAAGCTTAATTACTATCTGAAGCAATGACGCCAGATGAGCTCGTGTCAAAGAACCTATTCTGTGGAGGGGGGGGGAGGGATAAAGTAGCCACGAGTATCACAGATGTGCCCTTTTCGTGGCTCGAAAATGCGTGACAATAGGGCTAAGGCTTCACAAAGTGAAATTATGGCGGCTAATGTGAAGCTTACGGACGAGATACCTCGTGCACACCCCATGATACGCAACGTG